CTTTTCTTTGCTCAATTCCCTTTGAAACAGAGGCCAACAGTCCACTTGCCATTTCTATTACTGCTGAACTTGGATGCTAGCTTTTTGTGATCCATGCGTAAGTATTTCCAAACACCTCTGTGCTGCAGCTTTCTGCAGTCTTTCCCCATTTAAATAATGTTCAGCTCTTCTATTCGTCCTGCCAAAAATGTCTCACATTTTTCCATACTTTATTCCATCAGCCAAGATTTTGTCAACTCATTTAATGTGGCCATATCCACCTGTAGACACTTTCTGCCAAGCTCAATGCTTGCCTTCCCACCTGTGTCATCTGCAAACTTGGCAAAAGTACATTCAAGTTTGCAATCTCAGTCATTGATGTATATTGTTAATAATTCTGGCCCCAGTACTGACCCCAGTTCCACTCCATTAATTACAGGTTGCCATCCTGAAACTGCCCCTTTACTGCAACTCTCTGTCCTCTACAGATTAGCTAATCCTCTATCCCTGTTAATATACTGATCACAAGACATAGGTTTTTATCTGATTAAGTAGTCTTGTGTGCAGTACTTTAACAAACACATTTTGGAAAGCCTTATATATTGTATCTATTGGTTCCCCTTTTTGTCATGTTCTCCAAGACCTATACTAAATTTGTCAGACATGATTTCCCCTTCACGAAGCCATACTGACTCTGTTTGGTTATGTTATGCATTTCAAGATGCTCTGCAATTACATCCTTTATAATACACTCTACATTTTCCCATTAACAGACATTAAGCTAACTGACTTACAGTTACCTGATTTTATTGCCTCCGTCCCTTTTTCACTAAAGGTGTTACACAGGCAGTTTTCCAATCTTCTGGGACTTTTCCAGAATTTGAGGATTCTTGGAAGATTACCACCAATGCATCCACTCCCTTAGCAGCTACTTCCTTTAAAACCTTAGGGTGCTTAGCAAGGCATTCAACAAGGTTCCTCAAGTTAGGCTGGTTAGCAAGGTTAGATCACATGGAATCCAGGGGGGAGCTAGCCAACTGCATACAAAATTGGCTTGAAGGTAGGAGACAGAGGGTGGTGGTGGAGGGTTGTTTTTCAGAAAGGAGGCTTGTGACCAGTGGTGTGCCGCAAGGTAACTCCACTGCTTTTTGTCATTTATATAAATGATTTGGATGTGAATATAGGAGGCATGGTTAGTGAGTTTGCAGATGACACCAAAATAGGTGGTGTAGTGGCTAGTGAAGAAAGTTGTCTCAGAGTACCACTAGACCTTGATCAGATGGGCCAATGGGCTGGGGAGTGGCAGATGGAGTTTAATTTAGATAAATGAGAGGTGTTGCATTTTGGTACGGCAAACTAGGGCAGGACTTATACAGTTAATGATAGGACCCAGGAAGTATTGCCAAACAAAGGGCCCTAGGAGTGCATGTGCATAGTTCCTTGAAAGTGAAGTCACAGTTAGACACGGCAGTGAGGAATGCGTTTGGTATGCTTGCCTTCATTGGTCAGTGCATTGAGTACAGGAGTTGAGGTGTTAGGTACGGCTGTACAGGGCATTGGTGAGACCACATTTAGAATATTGCATTCAATTCTGGTATTCCTGCTATAAGAAGGATGTTGTTAAGCTTGAAAGGGTTCAGAAAAGATTCACAAGATTGTTGCTGGGACTGGAGGATTTGAGTTATGGGGGGGGAGGCTGAATAGGCTGGGGCTATTTTCTTTGGACCATCAGTGACTGAAGGGTGACCTTAAGGTAAAATCATGAGTAGGGTGAATAGCCAAAGTGTTTTTCCCAGGGTAGGGGCATTTGAAACTAGACGGCATAGGTTTAAGGTGAGAGGGGAAAGATATAAAAGGGACGTAAGGGGCACCTTTTTCACACAGAAGGCGGTGCATATATGGAATGAGCTGCCAGGGGAAGTGGTGGAGGCTGGTAAATTCACAGCATTTAAAAGGCATCTAGATGAGCGTATGAATAGGAGGGGTTTACAGAGATAATGGGCCAAATACTGGCAAATGAAACTAGATCAGTTTAGGATATCTGGTCAACACAAACATGTTGGACCAAAGGGTCGGTTTTCCTGCTGTATGACTCTATGACTCTAAGTCCAGGGGATTTATCAGTTTTTAGTCCCATCACTTTACCTTACACTTTATCTCTACTGATAGTTATTGGGATTATGCCCTCCCTCTCCTTTAACGCCTGATTATTTAGTATTTATGGAATGCAATTCATGTCTTCTACCGTGAAGATGAATCACCTCATCTGCCCCTTCCTAGCTCTCCATTTTTACTTCCCTTGTCTCATTCTCTAAGGGGCCTTTGTTCACGCTGGCCTCTTTTTTTCTTTCAGAATCATAGAGTCATAAAGCTGTACAGTATGGAAACAGAACTTTCCATCCGACCCATCTATGCTGACCAAACATCCTAAATTAATCTAGTCCCATTTGCCAGCATTTGGCCCACATCACTCTAAACTTTCCTGTTCATAAACCCATCCAGATGCCTTTTAAATGTTGTAATTGTACCAGTCTCCATCACTTCCTCTGGCAGCTCATTCCATATATACACCACCCTCAGTTGAAAAAGTTGTCCCTAAGGACCCTTTTAAATCTTTCCCCTCTCACTGCAAACCTGTGCCTTTATAGATTTAAAGAAGCTCTTATGGTCTGTTTCTATGTACTTACAGGTTTGCCTTTGTGGTTTATTTTTTTTCTCTTCTTATAATTTTCCCATTTCTTTGGGCTCTAAAACTTTTCCAATCTTGTAAATACCACTAATATGTGCCATATTAAATGGTTTCTCTTTCACTTTGACACTGTCCTTAAGTTACTTGGTTACCCATGTTTGGTTTATTCCCTTCCTAGAATCTTTCTTCCTCATTAGGATATATTTTTGCAGTCAGTCTTAAACATCTGCCATTGATCCATAACCTTCTTTTCTGCTAAACCCCTTTCCCAATCCACCACACCCAACTCAGTCTTCATTCGTCTGAATTTACCATTACTTAATTTTGGCACAGTTGTTTACAACCCATGTTTCTCACTATCCAGCTGAAAGCTAAACCTTAGGAGATCTTTAACTCTAGAGATCATTAATTAAATCTGGCTCATTACAGATTGCCAGATTCAAAATAGCCTGATCTCTGGTTAGGTCCACAACATATTGCTCTAGGAAACTATCTTGAATACACTATGATTTTTTTTTCTTGTGCCAACTTTACCAATCTGACTTCCCCAATCTACATGAAAGTTAACATAGCCCATGATTAATGTACTGCCTCTTTTCATGCTGTCATTGTCTCCTGAATTATCTTTTATTCTACACAACAGACAGTGTTCAGGAGCCTATAGACTACATCTAGCAGTGTCTTCTTCCCTTTATTATTTCTTATTACCATCTCTGGCTGAAGACTACATCATCCAATCCAAGATCATTTTTTCCTATAATACTTATTCCATCTTATAGTAACAAAGCTAACCCGGCACCCTTTCCTTCCTGCTGTTCCTTTTGAAAAGTCACACACCACTAATTGATTTAAAACATATTACAGTCAAATGATCTTGTGGAGAGATAATTTTAAAAAGTTAGTTCTTACTGTGAGAATCATTTAGATACATGAGTCATAAACAGGAAAATCACAATACACTTTTTTGTAGAAGCTGAACTCTCTTGCTGGTGGAGATATGATGAAGGGGATGTATTTTCAAACTAGAACCACTCCTGTTCATCCAGTAGGTTGCACCATAGTTTTGATTGAGCAGAAGAAAGTCATTGATTACAATGAGAATGCTGCAATTGTGTTTGTGTTTTGCTGTCCCCAAACCAAATCGTGTCATATTAGCAGCAACTCAGCTACACATAGCGTTCATTCTGTTGAGCAGATATTCAAATTCTCCCTGGGATTCAGATGCTGGTGCTGGTCAGGGCCCTGTCTCTTGTGAGCACTGAATATGAAAAATTCTCCATTCACAAATGGTTCAGTTGCCATTTTCTGTTTTGTTGATGGGGTCAATATTTACTATACTTGACCAAATATTGGCATTGACACCTGGATGGACTATGTTTTTTTGGACAATGTAGATCTGTTTATTAAAATAATCAGAAATGAGCAGATTGCAAAATTTACAGATGGGTCTGCCTTACCTGAATCATAAACACAATTAGTAGCATTAATGAAGCAAGAGTTATCATTCCCTAGTTTTGGGCTGAGATAGCTTGATTTGGGTGGCTAGTCTAGAGGCCAGACTAATGTGATGGATACATGGGTTCAAACTCCTCCCAAAGCAATGGTGGAAATTGAATGCAATTAATAAATTGGGAGAAAATGTAGTAATGGAATCCATGAGGGCTGTCACTGACTGTTGTAATATCCCAACTGGCTCACTAATGCCCTTTCGAGAAGGAAATCTGCCATTCTGGCCAACATGTGACTCCAGACACCCAGAAATGTGGTTGACTCTGAACTGCCGTCTGAAGTGGCTTGCAGCAATGTTGAAATTAAGCCTCGGTACACAGCGACTTACTCAAACTCATTCTATGCCAATACTCAAAATGTGAAACTCCCCAATCCCCTCAGTTTCCCTACTCCTTACCAACACAAGTCTGGCTTCTTCTCATCATTATTCCTCATCCTCTCTGCCATTCTTTGCAAACTTGGTTAAAGCCCCTCAATTCAGGCCTTGTCTTAACTTCTTCTCTAATAATAAACAAAATTAAAAGTGGTACAGTACCACATAGGTGCTTGAATCATGTGAAACTTTCGTACAAAGATGCATGTCGGGGACCCAATTTATCCTTGCATTAAATACCATAATTATCAGCCTCTTAAAGTCAAATTCATATTCCTCCTCTTCAGCAATGAAACTAGAAACTAAAGATACTGGAGAAAAAGAACAACATTTCCCCAAATGCACAACAAGCATGCTAATGCTTTCACCGATGACAGAATGAAGAGGATTCCTCAGTTAATCCCTCTGTATTTATCCCAGCTTTACATATTTGTCAAGGTTAATACTTACAGATTTTGGCTTGAAGAATCAGCTGCAGCAATACAAAGGTATGTCATGTCCTGCCAAAAGAAAAAAAACACAGCATCATTAAGGCGAACAAAGACTGAACTTGCCTATGTTCTGCTTTTGTTATAGGCCAGACCAAACCCTCTCAAATCCCGTCTAGACACCAACTTTTTACATTATTTAATGGCAAGTGTAAGGCACTGTGTTGCAGATGTGATTCAGTTCTCCCACTACTTGGGTTTATGCAAAATACACCTTGTTCTTACAACACAGTTAAAGTACAAATGATAAAAGAAAAATTGGCATAACTTTACCTCTACTGAAGTACTTAATAAAATAATATACTATTTAACTATTAATCATCAATTGCTCCAGTATAGCAGCATCCCATAAACACACCCATGGCAAAGGCAAATTCAGCAAAACAGAGTTTCCTCATGTGTCATTTCCTCTGCAATCCAGGAGAAAGTAACACTGACAGAAACAATCTAGGAACAGAGAATAAACTTAAGCTTTTCCTGAAGCAGGGAGACAGCTGTATTTATCAGCTTCAAATAGCCAGCTCCAAACTCAACTGAAAGCAAAACTAAAATTTATGTGAACCTGACTCCACACATGCATGCTTCTTTTGTCTAATTTTGAAAAGAAACACTCTGGGAGCTCAGACCTGTTTACGCATTGCTTCTGAAGCAGACATTCCAGTACCATCTTTCTCAAGGACAGCCTGTTTTATATTACTCCCTGTTGATTCTAATGGTGAGGAGATTCAGGTAGGCTTTAAAATCAGCTTTGCACCCGATCCCATGGCTTTCCTGATGGTCAGGTCAGGTTAAATACTTGAAGCATTTTCACGTAAGGAATATATTAACCGAGTTCCCACAAACTAGATTATAACTAGATTGAGCTGCTTTTTTCAGTGATGTTGGACGTGATGAAATACTGGCCAGATCATTGGTGAGAACCTCCTGTTCTTCACTAATAGTGCTGGGATTCTATTGTACATAGAATACCCTGTCTAGTCCTGTTACAATTTTATAGATTCCTATGTGATTACTCCCTCATTCTTCTATGAGGGGGAAATCACATAGAAATTTGTGAGAGGGCAGATGTGGCTTCAGCCTAACCTTTCATCTGAACAATTGGCACTGCTGACAATGCAGCACACCCTCACCATTACATTCAGGGGTCAGCCTGGAATTTTGTGCTCATGTTTCGCTCCGAAGTTGTGTATTTTAAATTTGTATCCAGTATTAGATACCTCATGCTTTACCACCTCGTCAGTACAGCTTATTATTTTATAAGACAGTGATCAGGTATCCCTCAGTCTTATGGTGTGGATAAATATGAGGTCATCCACTTTGGCAGCAAGAATAGAAAGGTAGATTATTATCTGAATGCCAATAGACTGGGAAAAGGGAGAGATGCAACAAGAGCTGGGTGCCCTTGTGTATCAGTCACTGAATATAAGCAGGCAAATGCAGCAGGCAGTGAAGAAGGCAAATCATATGTTGGCATTCATAGCGATAGAATTCGAGTACAGGAGCAGGGACTTGGTATAATATGTCGTTTATGTCTCCTTATCTTGGGAAGGACTGGCTATGCAGGGAGAGCACAAAAGTTTACCAGACTAATTCTTGCAATGGCAGACTGAGAGAGGAAGAAAGACTGGATTGGTTAGGACTGTATTCACTGGAGTCTAGAAGAACGAGGGGGAAAACATATATAAATCTATAAAATTGTAACAGGACTAGACAGGGGAAAAAGAGGAAGAGCAGAGACTCCAGCAGCAGGTTTCATAGTATAAGGATATGGGATAGGCCATTTGGGACTAAAATGAGAAAATTTTCACTCAAAGTGGTGAGCCCATGGAATTGTCTGCCACAGAAAGTAGTTGAGGCCAAAAGATTGAATATTTTCAAGAAGGAAATATAGTTCTTAGGGCTAAAGGGATTTAAGGGTATGGGAAGAAATCAGGAACCCAGTCTTGTCATAGAGGCATAGTCATTGTCATAAGAGTCATACAGTGCAGAAAAGGCCCTTCAGCCCATCGTGTCTGCACCAAAAATAACAACCACTAAAGGCATGCTCATCCCAATTTCCTACACTTCTCCCATATCCTGGAATGTTATGTTATTTCAAGTGCTCATCCAAATATTTGTTGAAGGTTATAAGATTTCCTGCCAGTGCATTCCAGATTCCCACCACCTTCTGAGTGAAAATGTTTTCTTCTCCCCCAAATCCCCTCCGAATCTCCTACCCCTTACTCTAAAACAAGGGGAAAACTGCTCCCTACTCACTCCACCTATCCCCCTATCTAATGCCCCACACCTCTATCCCATCCCCATGCTAAGTTGGATAATTAGCCTTGATCATATTGAATGGTGGAGCAGGCTCCGAAGGGTCAAATGGCGTACCCCTGCTCCCATTTTCTACATTCCCATGTTTTTGTTTCTTTTCTCCTGCAAATCTGAATTATCCTTCAAGAAGTAAGATCACTAAAGTACCGAACTATCCTGATCACTCGTCTCTGAACTCTATACATTTTGAGACAGTGTAACCAAGGAGCTAATATATAATCAGTGGAGATAAATGGCAACTGCACAGCAAACTAGATAATAAGTCTGACTGACATAAAAAGCTTTGAAGGATGAAGACTGAATAGCAACCAAAAGTTTAGGCATACACAACAGGCCCATCGGCACCTGAAAATAAAAGAGCCAAATTAACCATTTAATGCTGAAGGCTGAACATAGTTCTCTAGATGGTATATGACCAATATGCTATATAATTCAAGCATTGGACCCTCAATTTATAATTCAACCCAGTTAACATCAAGGCCAACATCCTAACAAACATTTTTTTGACTTCATTTAGTATCTGTATATTATTATTGTAGTGTTGTGTACAAGCACTGCTAAATCCTCCACTTAGTTCTCTACAGATACTTGTCCCTTATCATTTAAGAAAGTAGTTATTTTCATATAGGTAATTTGGGCATTGCTAAAAAAAAAGACACATTTTGTCAAAGTTTTGCATACTGCATTCATCAGGACATTTCACACGAATATCAATTCAAGGGCAAACCTGGCATTTATACTGCATGAGAAGAGAGTGCTGATTGGTCAACAAGTGTATTCTGATTGGTGGAAATTTTGCCATGGAGAATGCACCCACTAGTACTGATTGGCAGCTAACTATCAGGCTTTGTTTAAATTTGAAACGAGGCATGTTGACTCTGATTGGTCGGTGCATTGTTCTGAGAAAAGAATGAGCAAATTGCTGTCATTTACTTGAGGTAAAACAGGCACAGTGCTTGTACATACACATTCTCTCTGCAAAGGCCAGGGCCTTGTATATTAATACATATAGCTTCAGTACATCCAAGTACACCACACTGTGAGTGAGCTGACAATCCTAAATTAGTTTCCAGCAAATGTCCTTGCATAATCAGGATTATCCAGAAAATGTTCTCCAATTACAGAATCACAACTAATGCAGGACAGTCTGTGGTGACTTTTTAAAGCGCTGTTTGGTTGGGTACAGCAGTACCTCTCTTGTTGCAAACAGCCAAACTGACATGCTGTTTATTACAATCATCATGTCCATCACATACCTCCACCAATCAGAACCCACTAGCCAACCAATCAGCATTCTCCTCCCATGCAGAATAAATGCTGGCTTTCTCCATGAATTGATATTCTCGCAAAATGTCCTGATGAGTGCAAGATGAAAAGCTTCAACAAAATGTGCCACTTTTCAGCAATAATTAAGGAAGCATCCTAATAATTTCACAAGCGCATCTGATGCAAGAACATTGTTTGTGGATTGGAACAATTCAAATGTCACCCCCTTAGTTAAGAAGTAAGGGAGAGAGAAGCAAGATAACTACAGACCTGTCAGTCTAATAAATGATTGGAGATCTTACTGCAAATATTAACCCAACACAGCATACCTGATGGATTTGTATAAATACTAGGTGATCAAAGAAAATCAGCTTGGCTTAGTAAAGGGTAAATCATAGAATCATAGAATTCCTACAGTGTGGAAACAGGCCATTCAGCCCAACAGGTCCACACTGCCCCTCCAAAGAGCATCCCACCCAGACCCATTCCCCTAACCCTGCATTTCCCAAATCTAATACACCTAACCTAAATCAATCTGAGTCATCTAGTAAATCTCTCTTAAGATCAGCAGTATGGCCAATAAGGGAGTAAATGTATACAGACTTTCCAATAGCCATTTATAAAATGTTATTAGCAAAAGCAAGAACAAAATTGGAGTCAGAGGTAACGTTACCACAAGCATTACTCATTGTTTTGAGGAAGGGGACAGAGAGTAGGAACAAAGATTTCACTCTATTATTGACAGGATATGGCAAGCGTGTTCTGCAGGGATAAACTTATAAAACATTGAAAACATGTAGCAGATCTGACAGCTTGGGCAAAGAACAAAACAGAGTTACCCTTTATCAGAACTCATTCAACCTGTTGAACATTTGTTGCATTTTCTGGTCTTATTTCAGATTTCCTACAGCCATTTTATTTTGTTTCTGTAGTAGTATTCCTATTGATCTATATAGAGTCCTTAGTGTTTCATTTATATAGTTAAGTGGGATTAATTAAATGCATGCTTTACAGTGCACAAACCTGCATTATAGACTGAATGACCTCCTTACCTGCTGTAATAATTCTATGCCCGATGAGATTATAGTCTTGCATAAAGTACAGACAAAGTTTTTTTGGTGGCAATAAGGGGACACACTGGATGAAACACAGACTAAGTGATTGGACAAAACTAATGTCGATAGAGTGCAAGCAATGTAATCATCTCTTTGGGTCTGGAATACCTTCTTATTATTGCACAGGTTAAAATCCCACCACTGCAGCTGATGGAATTTCAATTCCATTAATTCTTACCAGGTCTGGCCTACATGTGACACCAGATTTATAATAATGTCATTGACTCTTAACTACTCTCTGAAATGACATAGGAAAGCATTCAGTTGAAGGGCAATTAGGGATGTGCAACAACTGCTGGCCTTGCCAGAGATGCC